TCTAGTCAGTCCAGGCACAGCTGTCTTAAGTTAAGTAGTATACCTCTCTCTGGTGTTTTGGGAGATGGCATATGACTATTGAGATTTTATTTTGCTTGATATTGATTTTGTGTGATCTTGATGGATCTTCAGTCCTTACTCTGCCAGTTCCAAACATCTTATCTTATTATTATTGTTATTTATTTTATTTTATGTACATATTTGGTGGTGGGAGTAAGTTAATAAATGTTCATATATTATTGACTTGTTGACCTGTTAAATTGACCTTTGTTGGGAGAACTTGGGATTGATAATATAATAAATAATACTGATATATTTGAAAGACTTAAGTGATTTGTGTTTATGTAACGATCTACCCTAGGGTCGTAACAATGGTAACTACAGCAGAATGACGGCAACTACAGCAGGGTGATGGTAACTACAGCAAGGTGACGGCAACGACAACAGGGTGATGGTAACTACAGCAGAATGACGGCAACGACAACAGGGTGATGTTAAATACAGCAAGGTGACGGCAACGACAACAGGGTGATGGTAACTACAGCAGAATGACGGCAACTACAGCAGGGTGATGTTAAATACAGCAAGGTGACGGCAACGACAACAGGGTGATGGTAACTACAGCAGAATGACGGCAACGACAACAGGGTGATGGTAACTACAGCAGAATGACGGCAACTTCAGCAGGGTGATGGTAACTACAGCAGAATGACGGCAACTTCAGCAGGGTGATGTTAAATGCAGCAAGGTGACGGCAACGACAACAGGGTGATGGTAACTACAGCAGAATGACGGCAACTTCAGCAGGGTGATGGTAACTACAGCAGAATGATGGCAACGACAACAGGGTGATGGTAACTACAGCAGAATGATGGCAACGACAACAGGGTGATGGTAACTACAGTGATGGCACAGGGTGATGGTAACTACAGCAGAATGATGGCAACGACAACAGGGTGATGGTAACTACAGCAGAATGACGGCAACTTCAGCAGGGTGATGGTAACTACAGCAAGGTGACGGCAACGACAACAGGGTGATGGTAACTACAGCAGGGTGATGGTAACTACAGCAGAATGATGGCAACTTACAGCAGGGTGACGGCAACTACAACAGGGTGACGGCAACTACAACAGGGTGATGGTAACTGTGCCAAGGTTGTCACACATAGAACTAGCCGACGACTTTATAATTATGTATTTGAAGCCACTAAACGTTAGGGAAGGTCAGCACCATTAGTGACCATTATCACCAGCTGTCAGCACCACCAGCTGTCAGCGCCACCAGTGACCATTATCACTAGCTGTCAGCACCACCAGCTGTCAGCACCACCAGCTGTCAGCACCACCAGCTGTCAGCGCCACCAGTGACCATTATCACCAGCTGTCACCAGCACCACCAGCTGTCAGCGCCACCAGTGACCATTATCACCAGCTGTCACCAGCACCACCAGCTGTCAGCGCCACCAGTGACCATTATCACCAGCTGTCAGCACCACCAGCTGTCAGCGCCACCAGCCAGCACCACCAGTGACCATTATCACCAGCTGTCAGCACCACCAGCTGTCAGAAACCACCAGCTGTCGCACCACCAGCTGTCAGCACCCCAGCTGTCAGCGCCACCAGCTGTCAGCAGCACCAGCTATCATCACCACCAGTTATCATCACTACCAGCTGTCAGCACCACCAGCTGTCAGCCACCAGTGACCATTATCACCAGCTGTCAGCACCACCAGCTGTCCGCCACCGCCATTATCTCAGCGCCACCAGTGTCAAAGCTGTCAGCACCACCAGCTGCAGAAACCACCAGCTGTCAGCACCACCAGCTGTCAGCTGTCAGCACCACCAGCTGTCAGCAGCACCAGCTATCATCACCACCAGTTATCATCACCACCAGTTGTCAGGACCACCAGCTTTCAGCACCATCAGCTGTCAGCATTACCAGCTATCAGTTCCTCCAGCTGTCAGTTCCACCAGCTGTCATCACCATCAGCTATCAACACCATCAGCTGTCAGGACCACCAGCTGTCAGCACCACCAGCTGTTGGTTTCTACCAGCTGTCAGTTCCACCAGCTGTCAGTACCACCATTTCTCAGCACCATCACCTGTCAGCACCATCACCTGTCAGCACCACCTGCTGTCAGCATCGTCAGCTGTCAGCATCATCACCCGTCAGCACCTTCTGTCAACACCATCAGATGTCAGAACCATCAGCTGTCAACACCATCATCTGTAAGCACCTTCTTCTGTCAACACCATCAGCTGTCAGAACCATCATCTGTCAACACCATTAGCTGTCAGCACCATCAGCGCAACTGAAGAAGGTGCAGCAATCATTGTCGACCACCAATTGGCTGCCCCATCAGGAGGTCAACCCCAAGTGGACCAATCAGTGACGAGAAGTATAACGTGATTACCTCTAGCCCAACACCCAGCCAGGCGTGCTGTATTGTACAGTGTTACAGTGGTACAGTGGTGCTGTATGGTACAGTGCTACAGTGTTACAATGGTACAGTGGTGCTTTACGGTACAATGTTACAGTGGTACAGTGGTGCTGTGGCGTGGTTGGTACAGTGTTACAGTAGTATAGTGGTGTGGGTGGTACAATGTTACAGTGGTGCAGTGGTGGGGGTGGTACAGTGGTACAGTGGTGTGGGTGGTACAGTGTTACAGTGGTACAGAGTTCCAGTGGTACAATGTTACAGTGGTACAGTCTACAGTAGTATAGTGTTACAATGGTAACGTGGTGCTGTATGGTACAATTTTACAGTGGTACAGTGGTGCTGTATTGTGCAGTGTTACAGTGATATAATGAAGTGGGAGGTACAGTGTTACAGTGGTACAATGGTTCTGTATGGTATAGTGTTACAGTGGTACAGTGGTGGGATTGGTAAGGTGTTACATTGGTACAGTGCTATTGGTGGATCAGTGTTACAGGGGTGTGGGTGGTACAGTGTTACAGTGGTGTGGGTGGTATAGTGTTACAGTGGTACAATGGTGTGTGTGTGTGGTACAATGTTACAGTGGTACAGTGGTGTGGGTGGTTCAGTGTTACATTGGTACAGTGGTGTGGGTGGTACAGTGTTACAGTGGTACAGTGGAGTGAGTGATACAGTGGTGTGAGTGGTACAGTTTTAAATTGGTATAGTGGTGTGGGTGGTACAGTATTACAGTGGAACAGTGGTGTCAGTGATACAGTGGTGTGGGTGGTACAGTGTTAAGTAGTGCAGTGGTGTGGGTGGTACAGTGTTACAGTGGTACAGTGGTGTGAGAGGTACAATGGTACAGTGGTATGGGTGGTACACTGTTTGTGTTACAGTAGTGCTGGTGGTACAATGGTGTGGGCGGTACAGTGTTACAGTGGAACAGTGATGTGGGTGATACAGCGCTACAGTAGTACAGTGGTGAGAGTGGTAGAGTGGTACAGTGTGGGTCAGCCCACTGCGACACTGATCATCGACTTGTCAGAGCCAAGCTCCCACTTCACGTTGCCCCAAAACGATGAAGACAAGAAGCCTCCAGAAGAGGTTTTAACACTAAACATTTGGAGGATCCAGCGGTAGCATATGCTTTCAGAGAGCAGCTCGAACATCGGCTGATAAACAACCCGACAGTGCCGATTGGGATCTTCTCGACACTGCAATGACAAAAAGAATACACCAGGACTGGTTTGATGAAAATGAACAGGAAAGCAATGTACTCGTCGATGATAAACGTGCTGCTTTAACTGTCTAGCAGATCAACCCTCAGTTTCGGACCAAAGCTGCTACCTTCTGGAAGAAGAAAGCGGCAACCCAGCGCCGACTTTGCAATCTAAAGAACGACTGGTTTAAAAATAAAGCATGTGAAACACAAGAATTTGCAGATCAGTACAAGATGCGCGAATTTTTCAACTCCACAAAAACATTTTATGGGCCAATCACTCATGGCGCTGCCCCCCTCCGCTCATCCGACGGTAACTCCCTAATTAAACACAAAGAAGGCATCCTTCAGCGCTGGAGACAGCACTACCATTCACTGCTCAACCGAAACACTGAAGTGGATGTCCTGACTACCCAGCAGGTCCCTCAGCATCTAGAGCTGACCCACCTCAGCTATCCTACCATCAAAAGGATACAAAATAACAAAACTTCAGGGCCTGATGGAATCCCAGTCAAGGTGTGTACTCGTAAATCAGGAGAACCTTTGCTTAGTAGCCGTCTCCACTCTCTTTTGGAGAATATATGGGAAAAGGAGGAAATCCCCCAAGCTCTCAAATACAACTCCATCGTCAATATTTATAAGAACAAGGGAGACCGGTCAGACTGTGGCAACTACCTCGGGATCTCGTTGCTGTCCGTAACTGGCGAGATTATCGCCCGTATCCTCTTAAACAGACTTCTTCCTGAGGCGAAAAACTTCCTCCCAGAACCGCAATGTAGCTTTAGAGTTTAGACCATCACATGGCAACAATGACATAATCTTTGCTGCCCGCCAGATAAAAGAAAAGTACAGAGAACAGTTTCGTGACCTGTACAAGGCCTTCATCGACCTAACCCAAGGACTTCTTCTCAATCAACAGGGATTCCCTCTGGCGAGCCCTCAGCCATTTGGCTGCCCATCAAAATTCATTTCCATTGTGAGTCAACTCCACGGTGGCATGAACAGCAGTGTCCTGCACAATGGCACGGGGATTTAACAAGAATGCGTACCGGCACCTACTCTTTTTTTCATTTTCTTCGCTGTCTTCCTTACTAGTGCCAGAGTCAATTTAGCCAGCGGGGTAGGCATCGAGTACCGGATGAAGGGTCGTTTCAACATAAGACGACTCCAGGCAGGAACAAAGGTGTCGGCAGTTTCCATTATTCAACTTCAGTATGCAGACGACCTCACACTGAACACGACACAGATGCATATGCACACTCCGGCCTTAAGGTGAATGTACGTAAGACTCAGATTCTCTTTCAGCCTGCCCCTGGTTCAGACACACCTCCACCATCCATCCAGCTTAACGGTACTACTCTCTCTAATTTTACCCTCTTTCGGTATCTCGGCTCCCACTTGTCCAACATTGCAGACATCGATGAAGAGATTCAGCACCGGATCAGATGTGCATCTCAAGCCTTTGGCGGACTCACCAACGTAGTCTACGTTTCAACCTCCGAGTTCGCTGGGAACACAGAAGAACAATGCCAGTATTCTCGCAGACACACACTGTAGCGGCATCGAAGCTACCATTATTCACGAACAACTACTCTGGACTGGCCATGTTACCCGCATGGACGACAGTAGACTGCCAAAGCAGCTACTTTACAGTCATCTAACGAATAGTAAACGCAACGCTGGCGGGCAACTGAAAAGGTATAAGGAAAGTCTTAAGACAAACCTGAAAAAGTGTTATATCGATCCGCTCTTCTGGGAGACGATCACTCCACACCGTAACGCTTGGAGGAGCACCACACAAGGTGTCAATACTTTCCAATTAGCCTGATTGCATACCAAGGCAGACAATTGCTAACGCCGGAAAGACGCTGCCCCCCCCCCTTGTATTAGATGTAGCCCCCACATGAGCAAAATCTGTGAACGATCCTTCCATAACCCTATCAGCCTCTCTAGTCACCTCGGAGTTCACCAACGAAGGTGACATTCTTAAAAACTCATATCATTGTATCATAGCTAGATGATCGTCAAACTCGATTCCGAGTAACAGCAAAGTAGTAGTAGTACAGTGGAGTGCGTGTTACAGTGGTGTGGGTGATGCAGTGATGTGGGTTGTACAGTGTTACAGTGGTACAGTGGTATGGGTGATACAATGTTGTGGGTGGTACAGTGTTACATTGGTACAGTGGTATGGATGGCAAATTGGTGTGCTACAGTGGTATGGTTGATACAGTGATACAGTGGGGTGGATGATGCAGTGGTATGGGTGGTACAGTGGTGTGAGCGGTACAGTGGTGTTGGTGATACAGTGGCGCGGGTGGTGCACTGGTGTTGTATGGTAGAATAGTGTGGGGAGTACTGTGGTGTGGCGACCTGTGGTGTAATGGTCAGCATGCTCACCTCGCAAGCGAACGAACCCGAGTAAGGTCTCCGGTCAGGGTGAAACTATGAGTAAGTTTCTTTACGCCTTTTGCCTATGCCAACCAAGCAGTAATTGGTGACCTGGGTGTTAATAGATTTGCGGATCGTGTCCGGGGTAATGGTTAGCCAGTGCAGTTGTCGAGTTGTCCGGTCTTCATGGACTATGCCTTGACACAACGTCATGCAGCCCGTTAACTTTGGGTGTGGTTGTTGTGTTGGCGACAACTTCTACACCTTAAACAAATTCACGCCTAGGTGGCCCTTCAGACGGCCATCCTCGTCTTCGAGGAGCTTCCATTATTTATTTATTACTGAGGTGAGGTGTGTAGGGTAACATGGTGTTGCATGCAACAGTGGCGCGGGTGGTATAGTGGTGTGGGTGGTATAGTGGTGTGGGTGGTATGGTGGTGTGGATGGCATAGTGGTGTGGGTGGTATGGTGGTGTGGGTGGTATAGTGGTGTGGGTGGGATAGTGGTGTGGGTGGGATAGTGGTGTGGGTAGTATAGTGGTGTGGGTGGGATAGTGGTGTGGGTAGTATAGTGGTGTGGGTGGGATAGTGGTGTGGGTGTGGTGTGGGTGGGATAGTGGTGTGGGTGGTATAGTGGTGTGGGTGGGATAGTGGTGTGGGTGGTATAGTGGTGTGGTGGGAGTGGTGTGGGTGGTGTATGTGGGTGGGATAGTGGTGTGGGTAGTATAGTGGTATTGGTATAGTGGGTGTGGTATGTGGTGTGGGTGGTATAGTGGTGTGTGGTGTGGGTGGTATAGTGGTGTGGGTGGGATAGTGGTGTGGGTAGTATGTGGAGTGGGTGGTATAGTGGTGTGGAGTGGTGTGGGTGGGATAGTGGTATGGGTGGGATAGTGGTGTGGGGTGGGATAGTGGTGTGGGTGGTATAGTGGTGGGTGATACAGTGGTGTGGGTGATACAATGGTGTGGGAGATGCAGTGTTGCGGGTGGGTAAAGTGATGCAGTGTGGGTGATACAGTGATGAGTGGCGTGGGTGGTACAGTGTTGTGGGTGATACAGTGGTGTGGTTGATACAGTGATACAGTGGTGTGGGTGATACAGCGGTATGGGTGATACAGTGATACAGTGGTGTGGGTGACACAGTGATGTCGGAGGTACAGTGGTGTGGGTGATACAGTGATAAGGTGGCGTGGGTGGTACAGTGGTGTGAGTGATACAGTGGTGTGGGTGACACAGTGATGTCGGTGGTACAATGGTGTGGGTGACGCAGTGGCGCAGTTGATACAGTGGTGTGGGTGATACAGTGGTGTGGGTGATATAGTGGTGTGGGTGATACAGTGGTGTGCGTGGTAGAGTGGTGTGGGTGTTACAGTGGTGTGGGGGATACAGTGATACAGTGGTGTGGGTGATACAGTGGTACAGTGGTGTGGGTGATTCAGCGATACAGTGGTGTGGGTGATACAGTGGTGTGGGGGATACAGTTGTTCTAGGCCGGTTAATTGCTGATTCTGTCTAGGTTAATGAGGCCGGAACATTTATATTATATAGGGTTTTTAGTAGCGAAACCCAATTGTCTGTTATCCTTTTATTCAGGAACTATCTAGGATACAGTTCCACGTGTAGATCACCGTAACTTATCACTGTAGCTATGAGAGTTAAGAGAAGGACGGAGGCTATGCAAATAGACCTTCTCAATACGTCCGTTCGGTGTGAGGGGTTGAGTGACTCTGCTGTGAGTAGGAACCCATCGAGGGAGAACGGAATATGTACGTCGTCCTCCCTCGACGGAAGACGGAACCATCCACGATGGCTCTCTATAACGTCTTCCTCTAGTCAAGAATATCAAACTACTGCCCACTTTAGGTGGCCAGGGAGCCGGCTACTTAATGACTTAACTCAGCACAATATGACGCGGCTAACCGTGGGTACACCTTATCACGTGCACTGAACATGTCACCTCATAGCTAGTGGAAAGTTACAGGGGGTTACTCACGCCACTGTATCCCCAGTGGTGTGGGGGATACATTGGTGTCGGTGATACAGTGTTGTGGATGATACTGTGGTGCAAGTGGTACAATGATGTTGGTGATACAGTGGTGTGGGGGATACAGTGGTGTGGGTGATACAGTGGTGTGCGTGACACCGTGGTGTCAATGGTTCAGTGGTGTGGAAGATACAGTGGTATGGGCGACACAGTGATACAGTGCTGTTGGTGATACTGTGGTGTGGGTGATACAATGGTGTGGGTGATACAGTGGTGTTGGTGATACAGTGGTGTGGGTGATATAATGGTGTGGGTGATTCAGTGGTGTTGGTGATACAGTGGTGTGGGTGATACAGTGGTGTTGGTGATACAGTGGTGTGCGTGACACCGTGGTGTCGGTGGTTCAGTGGTGTGGGTGATACAGTGGTATGGGCGACACAGTGATACAGTGCTGTTGGTGATACTGTGGTGTGGGTGATACAATGGTGTGGGTGATACAGTGGTGTTGGTGATACAGAGGTGTGGGTGATACAGTGGTGTGGGTGATATAATGGTGTGGGTGATTCAGTGGTGTTGGTGATACAGTGGTGTGGGTGATACAGTGGTGTTGGTGATACAGTGGTGTGCGTGACACCGTGGTGTCGGTGGTTCAGTGGTGTGGGTGATACAGTGGTATGGGCGACACAGTGATACAGTGCTGTTGGTGATACTGTGGTGTGGGTGATACAATGGTGTGGGTGATACAGTGGTGTTGGTGATACAGAGGTGTGGGTGATACAGTGGTGTGGGTGATATAATGGTGTGGGTGATTCAGTGGTGTTGGTGATACAGTGGTGTGGGTGATACAGTGACACAGTGTTGTGGGTGATTCAATAGTGTGGGTGATACAGTGGTGTGGGTGTTACAGTGATACAGTGATGTGGGTGATACAATGGTACAGTGGTGTGGGTGGTTCAATGATACAGTCTTGTGAGTGGTACAATGGTGTGGCTGATACAGTGACACAGTGGTGTGAGTGATTCAATAGTGTGGGTGATACAGTGGTGTGGGTGGTACAGTGATACCGTGATGTGGGTGATACAGTCGTGTAGGTAATACAGCGGTATAGTGGTGTGGGTAATACAGTAATACAGTTTTGTGGATGGCACAGTGGTGTTGGTGGTACAGTGGTGTGGGTGACACAGTGGTGTGGGTAATACAGTGTTACAGTGATACAGTGTTACAAGGATACAATGGTGTGAATTATACAGTGGTGTGGATGATACAGTGGTGTGGTTGATACATTGGTGTGGTTGATACAGTGGAACTATGGTGTGGGTGGTACAGTGATACAGTGGTGTGGGTGGTACAGTGATACAGTGGTGTGATACAATGGTGTGGGTGGTACGGTGATATGGGTGATACAGTCGTGTGGGTGGTACAGTGATACAGTGGTGTGATGGTACAGTGGTGAAGGTGATACTGCGGTATAGTAGTGGGGGTAATACAGTGATAAAGTGTTATGGATGGCACAGTGGTATAGGTGATACAGTGGTGTGGGTGGTACAGTGTTACAGTGATACAGTGGTGTGGATGATACACTGGTGAGGATGATACAGTGATACAGTGGTGTGGGTGATACAGTGGAACTCTGGTGTGGGTCGTACAGTGATACAGTGGTGTGGATGGTACAGTGGTGTGGGTGGTTCAGTTTTGTGGGTGATACAGTGGTGTGGGTGATACAATCGTGTTGGGTACAGTGATACCGTGGTGTGGATGATACAGTGATACAGTGGGTGGGTAGTACGGTGGTGTGGGTGATACGAGTGGTGTGGGTGGTACTGTGGTGGGGCTGATACAGGGATACAGTGGTGTGGGTGGTACAGTGATACAGTGGTGTAGATGGTACAGTGGTGTGGGTGGTTCAGTGGTGTGGGTGATACAGTGGTGTGGGTGGTACGGTGATGTGGTGATACAGTGTTGTGGGTGGTACATTGGTGTGGGCTATACAGTGGTGTGGGTGGTACTGTGGTGTGGCTGATACAGTGGAACAGTGGTGTGTACGGTACAGTGGTGTGGGTGATACAGTATTGTGGGTGATACAGTGTTTTGGGTGGTACATTGGTGTGGGCTATACAGTGGTGTGGGTGGTACTGTGGTGTGGCTGATACAATGGAACAGTGATGTGTGCGGTACAGTGGTGTGGGTGATACAGTATTGTGGGTGGTTCTTAGGTGGGGCTGATACAGTGATACAGTGGTGTGGGTGGTGCAATGGTGTTGGTGATACAGTGGTGTGGGGTACAGTGATTCAGTGGTGTGGGTGATTCAGTGACACAGTGGTGTGGGTGATTCAATGGTGTGGGTGATTCAATGGTGTCGGTGATACAGTGGTTTAGGTGATGCAGTGACACAGTAGTGTGGGTGATACAATCATACAGTGGTGTGGGTGGTACAATGATACAGTGGTGTGGTGGTACAGTGGTGAAGGTGATACTGCCGTATAGTAGTGTGGGTAATACAGTGATAAAGTGTTGTGGATGGCACAGTGGTGTGGGTGGTTCAGTGGTGTGGTTGATACAGTGGTGTGGGTGGTACATGATGTGGGTGATGCAGTAGTGTGGGTGATACAGTGATGATGGTGTGGGTGATACAGTGATACAGTGGTGTGGATGGTACAGTGGTGTGGGTGGTTCAGTGGTGCGGGTGGCTCAGTGGTGTGGGTGGTACAGTGTTGAGGGTGGCACTGTGGTGTGGGTGATACAGTGTGTTACGACCTTGTAGTATTTTTCTATTATTTTTTATAATATGCTTCCATGTTGTTCCATATTATTCCTGTAATGATGTGTTATATTTACTATTATATATTCTTGTCACCTTACCCTGTGCCATTAAGGTTTTAACTGTTATTATTTGTTCAAGCCCATCTTATTTCTCCATTTAGTATTGTAACAAGCATTCTTTGTTTCTCTAACGACCATCTGCATCGTTAAACAACCCATGTTTCACAGGCATGTCACACTGGAGGGAGCCCACCTTATATATAGTACCCCACCACAGACGGAGTTCAGTCCAGTCCTCTTGTCATTCAGTTCACGTTCTTTTTGGTGACACCCGTCACCTGTTACTTATACATTATTTTATTTCTGTGTTGTTCCTGTCCCCACCAATGTGGTATATCTATGTGAGTACCTATTCATGTCTCCTGTGTGGCAATCAGTGCTTGCTTAATTACATTTAAGTAATTCAGTGTTGTTTCACGATAGTTAATTTCAGAGTTATTTATTTTATATGTTTATGCAGTGTTATATCCAGTGCTTTATATTTTTTCTATATATTTAAGCTGTTCTTTTGATGTTTCGATGTTTAGTATCATTTGTGTCTTAAAAGTTTCGATAGTGAATCAATTTGTTGTGTCAGCCAACGAGGCTCTTTATTGTGTTAATATTTAATTTAATTAAATTCTTAAAGGTTTACTTTATTTATTTTTATTCCATTTTCATTTACTTCACTTTTTATTTGTTTGGTTACGCCTAGAACCTGGATATTAAAGTAAATTAAGAGACTGCGTAACACGTGGTACAGTGGTGTGTGCTGTACAGTGATGTGGGTGATACAGTCGTGTGGGTGGTACTGTGGTGTGGCTGATACAGTGATACCGTGGTGTGGGTGGTACAATGGTGTGGCTGATACAGTGGGGTGGGTGATACAGTGGTGTGGGTGGTACAGTGGTGTGGGTGGTACAGTGTTATGGGTGGTACATTGGTGTGTGCTGTACAGTGATGTGGGTGATACAGTCGTGTGGGTGGTACTGTGGTGTGGCTGATACAGTGATACCGTGGTGTGGGTGGTACAATGGTGTGGCTGATACAGTGGGGTGGGTGATACAGTGGTGTGGGTGGTACAGTGTTATGGGTGGTACATTGGTGTGTGCTATACAGTGGTGTGGGTGGTACAGTGGTGTGGGTGATACAGTGGTGTGGGTTATACAGTGGTGTGGGTGATGCAGTGGTGTGGGTGATACAGTGGTGTGGGTGGTACAGTGATACAGTGGTGTGGGTGATACAGTGATACAGTGGTGTGGGTGATACGGTGATACAGTGGTGTGGATGGTACAGTGGTGTGGGTGGTTCGTTGGTGTGGGTGGTTCACTGGTGTGGGTGGTACAGTGTTGTGGGTGGTACAGTGGTGTTTGCGGTACAGTGGTGTGGGTGATACAGTGGTGTGGGGTGGACTGTGGTGTGGCTGATACAGTGATACAATGGTGTGGGTGGTAGAATGGTGTGGGTGATACAGTGGGGTGGGTGATACAGTTGTGTGGGTGTTAGTGTTATGGGTGGTACATTGGTGTGGGCTATACAGTGGTGTGGGTAGTACTGTGGTGTGGGTGATACAGTGGTGTGGGCTATACAATGGTGTGGGTGGTTCAGTGGTGTGGGTGATACAGTGGTGTGGGTGGTACAGGGGGTGTGGGTGATACAGTGGTACAGTGGTGTGGGTGATACAGTGGTGTGGATGATACAGTGGTGTGGATGATACAGTGATAGTGGTGTGTGATGATACATTGGGGTGGGTGGTACAGTGGTCATGGTGGCACAGTGTTGTGGGTAGTATAGTGGTGTGGATGGTTATTGCTGTTGGTGATACAGTGGTGTGGGTGGTACAGTGGTCATGGTGGTGCAGTGTTGTGGGTGGTATAGTGGTGTGGGTGGTGGTGTGGACTATACAGTAGTGTGGGCTATACAGTGGTGTGGGTGGTACAGTTGTCATGGTGGTACAGTGTTACGGGTGGTATAGTGGGTGGTACAATGGTGTTGGTGATACAATGGTGTGGGTGGTACAGTGATACAGTGGTGTGGATGGTTCAGTGGTGTGGGTGATACAGTGGTATGGGTGGCACAGTGCTATGGGTGTTTACAGTGGTGTGGGTAGTACAGTGTTATGGGTGAGGGTGGTACATTGGTGTGGGTACAGTGGTGTGGGTGATACAGTAGTGTGGGTGATACAGTGGTGTGGGTGGTACTGTGGTCATTGGTGGTACAGTGTTGTGGGTGGCTTAGTGGTCTGGGTGGTGCAGTGATACAGTGGTGTGGGTGGTTCTGTGGTCATGGTGGTACAGTGATATGGGTGGTATAGTGGTGTTGGTGGTACAGTGAAACAGTCGTGTGGGTGGTACTGTGGTCATGGTGGTACAGTGTTATGAGTGGTATAGTGATGTGGGTGTTACAGTGGTGTGGGTGGTTCTGTGGTCATGGTGGTACAGTGTTATGGGTGGTATAGTGATGTGGGTGTTACAGTGGTGTGGGTGGTACTGTGGTCATTGTGGTACAGTGTTGTGGGTGGCTTAGTGGTCTGGGTGGTGCAGTGATACATTGGTGTGGGTGGTTCTGTGGTCATGGTGGTACAGTGATATGGGTGGTATAGTGGTGTTGGTGGTACAGTGAAACAGTCGTGTGGGTGGTACTGTGGTCATGGTGGTACAGTGTTATGGTGGTATAGTGATGTGGGTGTTACAGTGGTGTGGGTGGTTCTGTGGTCATGGTGGTACAGTGTTATGGGTGGTATAGTGATGTGGGTGTTACAGTGGTGTGGGTGGTACTGTGGTCATGGTGGTACAGTGTTATGGGTGGTATAGTGATGTGGGTGTTACAGTGGTGTGGGTGGTTCTGTGGTCATGGTGGTACAGTGTTATGGGTGGTATAGTGATGTGGGTGTTACAGTGGTGTGGGTGGTTCTGTGGTCATGGTTGTACAGTGTTATGGGTGGTATAGTGATGTGGATGTTACAGTGGTGTGGGTGGTACTGTGGTCATGGTGGTACAGTGTTATGGGTGGTATAGTGATGTGGGTGTTACAGTGGTGTGGGTGGTTCTGTGGTCATGGTGATACAGTGTTATGGGTGGTATAGTGATGTGGGTGTTACAGTGGTGTGGGTGGACCTGTGGTCATGGTGGTACAGTGTTGTGGGTGGCATAGTGGTGTGGGTGGTACAGTGATACAGTGGTGTGGGTGGTACTGTGGTCATGGTGGTACAGTGTTATGGGTGGTATAGTGATGTGGGTGTTACAGTGGTGTGGGGTACAGTGGTGCGGGTGGTACAAGGGTGTGGGTGGTACAGCGGAATGGGTGATACAGTGGTGTGGATAATACAGTGGTGTGGGTGATACAGTGTTGTGGGGTTACAGTGGTGTGGGTGGTTCAGTGTTATCGGTGTTACAGTGGTGTGGGTGATACAGTGGTGTGGATGATATAGTGGTTTGGGTGTTACAGTGATTGAGTGGTGTGGGTGAAACAAGTGGTGTGGGTGGTACAGTGGTG